ATCTGTCTCCCCTTTGCAGGCAGACAGCTCTGCTCTCTGCCCCCACCCCTGCTTCTCTCAGGAGCCCTCCTGGTGCCCTGCGCCTCACCCTGGACTCCTGGCATTTCCCACTCCTGCCACTGCACAACCCCACGAACTTGGCGGCTTGAGGCTGAGCCTCTGGGCTGTTTCCTTAGCCTCTTAGGTCTCCAGTCTTAAGAGCCGCTGCCTCTGTGCAGTCGGCCAGGTCAGGTCCCATCTGGTGCCTGCTCCAGCCAAGGTCCTGCTTGGGCAGAGAGATAGGATTGGCCTCTCCCTCAGCACATGTGCTTTCTCTTCCACCTTGCAGGGTCCCACAGTCACAACTGCAATCGGAGTCCATGGGGCCTTTGCCATACGGGCTCCCCCCTGCACGTCTGGCTCTGCGGCCCCCTTCTAAGGGACACATTAACACTGTTGTTTTGAAGGTGTTTGCATGGCCACCGGCCCTTCATTTACTACCTGCCTCTGCCCCCGTGTACTGGAGGATCCCTGACTCGGGTGGGGATATGTTTGGTTTGTTTGAATTCAAACTGGGGTTTCTTGAATGAGACATTGCATGTTAATCAGATTTTGTTAGTGCCTCCCCTCTAGTGCTTTTTGAATTACACCATTGGTACATTAAGTTCCTGCTTGTATTTATAATATAATATATGGAGATATCCCATCTCCTAGAGCTGGAAGGGACCTTGAAAGGTCATTGAGTCCAGCCCCCTGCCTTCACTAGCAGGACCAAGTACTGATTTTGCCCCAGATCCCCTCAAGGATTGAACTCAACAACCCTGGGTTTAGCAGGCCAATGCTCACACCACTGAGCTATCCCTCCCCCATTATTTGTAGTATTGGCCAACATATAATTAACAGTGGTATAACCAGAGGCCATCGTTTAAAGAATAAGCTCAAATAAAATGCAGATAGACATGGCATCAGAATCTAGAGACAAGACAATCAAACAAGATTTCACCTTCAGACTTAACTGCATTTCCTGACTGAAGAGTGCCTGAGAAATTGCCAGCTCTACACTCCTTTCTCCCTTCGATTTTCTTCCTCTAGGACCCTACTTACTGGCCACTTCTCACAGTTTGTGGAAGTCGGCTTTTTTGACATCCATTTGTCCTTATTCTGCTGCTCTCACTCCTTCCTTTCCTTGGAATCGAGAAATCTATCATTTCCTGATCACATTCACTTAAATTGTCTTCCACCTTCAGATTTACAACCAATTCCTCCCTGTTGGTCAGAGTCAGGTTTAAAATAGCTGTCCCCCTGGTGACTTCCTCCACTTGCTGAAACAAAGTGATCGATCCTCAATACATTCCAAGAGCTTACTGGACTTTTTGCGTTTTTTCATATTACTTTTCCAACAGATGTCTGGGTAGTTCAAGTCCCGCACCACGGCCAGGTCTTGCGTTTTGGATATTTGTTCTAGAAATGACTCATCCATCTCCCCTTCCTGATTTGGTGGTCTATAGTAGACCCCCATCATATCACCCTATTGTCTCCCTTTTATCTTTACCCAGAGACTTTCAGCTGGTGTGTCTCTCACCTGCTCTGGACCTCGGAACACACGTATATATTCTTGATATATAATGCAACTCCTCCTCCCTTTTTACCCTGCCGGTCCTTCCCGAACGAGCTATATCCCTCTATAGCAATATTCCAGACATTAAATTTATCCAAGCAAGCCTCTGTGACGCCAATTAAGTCATAATTTAGCTTATGGACTAGTACTTCCAGTTCTTCCTTATTTATTCCACATACTCCTTGCATTTGTGCATAAACATCTAAGATATTGAACAGATTTCCCCACTTGTTCCTCCGATGACCCTATTCTAATTTTCCATGTCCAACCCCC